CGACATAATCCGAAACGTCAAGAAAATAAAATTCTTGTTCCAGTGGCCGCATCTTCTTCCAAATTTCAATTGATCCCATTTGTGAAATATTTGGTGGAATTCGAACTTACGCCAGCAAGGGAAGCATTTAATACAGCCAACGCTCTAGCCAAATGAGCCATCGAGGACCCGCCGAGAACCGTGAGTTTAATCACACTGGATGCAAGGATTAAAATAAACCTGTTGTCGACCACAATTGTTATTGAGTTAATTAGTACCCACCATCACTTCGCGTCACATATAAAACTTCTCATCAACATAAAATTGCAAATGGACCGAAACAGCAGAAGCTGTGCACAGCGGCATAAAAGTATGTCGCAGTTGACGAAGAATCAAAAAACAAAAATTACACACGTCAGTGGCAGTCCTGATGTGACTCAAGATTATTCCTGCCAAACAGCTTTAACCTAAACTTGCATTTCCGAAGATAACAAGCAAAAGCTCACCACCTTGGGCCAGGAAGCTTGCGTCCTCAAGACGTTCCATGGCACTCACTTCCTCGCAAGTACTTGTCTCCACATCGTACTGGTAAACCGTAGACAGGCCATTCGCCGCTGATTCTCCAAAGACGAGAACACAACTCGCAAGGCTTGCCGGTCGATGATTAGCGTTAAAGGGACATTCCTCTTGGTTTCTTGAGCCACAATATCTTATCCAATGGTCCGCAAGACCTACACGCTGCCTGAAAGTTGAGGAAAGATAAGAAACGATTTGCCTGCATACATGCAGCTGGCATTGCTGACGATGAGATCGTCACTCTCGAGCAGACGCCTCCTAAAACGGTGCGTCGTTTGATTCCAGCGCACCTCTCTCAGCATGTCCGGAGCATGCACAATCCTGCTTTCATCTACGCTTCCAGTTGGACAGACCCATCTTTTTATTGCGTCGAAAACCTTCTCTTCATTAGTCACTTGCAAGTCACCGTCGCGCAACATGGAAAGTAACACATTGGCAGGAAGTTGAAGGAAAAGACCGCTGGCAACGGTTGCCTCGAAAAATGCCTTCATGTGACGCAGGCAGCCTTCGCGGAGACCTGCACAGTTCGCGGCTGTCGCGAAATGCCAGCATTCCGAAAGGTTATCATCCTGAAGTCTGTTGGCATTTAACAATGCAAATCTTGGCAAACCCAGACTACCTGGCTGATAAAAATGTGACAGCCCAATCTTCCACACAGGGAAGCGACAACTGTTTAGCTAACATGATCATATTCATCGCATTGGTAGGGGTTATTTCAAGTCGGCCTGTGTACAGGTAGTCAATGAGTGTTGATGCAGACCTGATAAAAGAATCATTAGGAAGGAAGGTAAGTCTACTCGAGGGAGACCGTTGGCCATTTGAGTACTGAAGTCGTTTCCGTCATCGCCGCGCGTAAGGAAGGAATCCTGCAGGCCACAATCAGTCGATGCACATGCAGAAACTTGCGTTTCTTCAACTAGGAACGTTTAGGTGAGAAGAGAAGGCACTTGCCTGAATGGTAAGATCGGTTAACTCGCGTGCAGTACGAAGTTTGTGCAGTTTAGGACAACTCCGGACAAGTGGAAATTCATCTTCAAACATTTGCACATCGGAATAGGCCATTGCCAGTCGATCCTGCAAAACGAAATTTTAATGGCATCATTTCATCCAGCCGTGATCAAGAGGCCGCCAAGGAACTATGACTTCACACGGACAATTGAGGGGGATAAGAAGAATGAATGAAAAAATATCGAAAGGGGGGAAGGAGGATGATTGATACTGTCAAATTAGAAGTCAGTAGGTCGGTCGCCATTGCTGAGAAAATAACAGCAAGTGAAAAAATACGGCCGACAGATGGTCAAGGAGTCGAGAGTCATGAAATCAAAAGCTTTAAGCACAAATCTGTCCAAAGCTTTTAGCTCTAACCTCTAGATTGCGTTGGTCATCCATTCACTGGAAAATTTAAAACGTTCTTATGGCGAGGGAAAGTTACCAGGTCGATCAACTTTTGGGGAATGTGGGGAATAACGCCGCACTCAATAACGGTGCTAAAGCTTAATTACCTTGCCAACATGCCATTAGTTATCCCTTGTGCTATTTAATAGGTTTTCTAGGCGTACGGAAGGTCATGGCGACTATGCTCTGTTTTCTGAAAGTCGGTGTAGTTGGAAAGCAGTATCACGCAGAACGTGTTTGTACGGTTTCACGACTTTACCATGCCGTGAAGGTGTAGCAGATCACACCCCAGTATTGATTGAAGTAATGGCATGGTCACCGTTGCAATAACTACTCTTATGTCAATTGGCAGAATCAAAAAGTCGCCACAGGATGGGCATTGATGGGAAACAAAACATATCGAACCCTTATTATACGATTTGAGTTGTTTTCACACACACAAAAACAATGTTTTAAGTCGTTCAGGAAATCAACGCAGTATTGAGGTCTCCAATAATTGCGGCTTTGTGCTTGCTTAACGACAGTACCAAACTGTTTTACGTCCTTCACAGCTTTAGCGGCTGAAATCACTGAAGCTCCTTATATCTGTTGCGAGATTTATGGATGATGTATGTTGGTGAAACGAGCAGACGCTCTGGCACAAGGTAGTATGAGCATCAGCTCACAATCAACCACAAGGATAAGCTGTCTATGGTCTAGGATCACGTACAGCAGAAAAATCACACGTTCGTTTTTGAGAGAGCAAAGGTAATAGGCCGAGCCGATTACAAAATTGTCAAATCACTGCTAGAAAGTTCGTCCTCGACTGGCACACTCAACAGAGCCATGGACTTTCATCCCGCCTACCAAGCGCTCCGCACAAGACTAACATATACTCAGAACGGAGTAATAGGTCAGAAAAAGAAAGACACACAGGGCCGACGGTGGGCAGCCGCGAGCGAAGAAGCTG